GCTACAACGTGCCCAGTGAAGGAGGCTTCCTGCAGATCCTCTGCAATACATAAGACTATAGGTGGAAGCCTGAACCACATCCAGATCTCCAGAGATGGGAGATTCCCGCTTGAAAGGACAAGCAGACCAACCTGGAGTGGCTAGAAGAACAGAAAATACTTCTTGAAAGAAAGACCTACAGGAAAAATATAAAACAACATAGGGAGACCGACTGTTACTACAAGAACAAGCAACATGTTTGCCCAGGAAAAGGCAAGTGGTCGGTTCCCCTCAGTGTAAACCCCCTTCCAAGACTAAGACTCAATGGGAACAATACTATTGATTCTTGATAATATGCTTCCTGTTGATACGGTTTAACACAGACCATTTGTTTGGTACTGTGACGTGTTACTCCTTCCATCTTTTGATGCTTTATGCATCAGTCAATATTTTGCTTATAGAATCCGTCAGTATTGCAAGTTGTGGTTTAAAATTTTTCTTAAGTGCTTTGCAGTTGAGAAATGCTGAGCATGTTCTTCCCTTTTGGTTTTCTAACTCCAGGTCTTTGCACATTTCATTGTAGTACTTGACTTTTTCTTTTCAAACTGCCCTTTGAAATTTTCTGCTTAGATCTTTTACCTCTTCATTTCTTCCATTCGCTTTAGCTTCTCTATGCTGGAGAGCAAGTTTCAGAGTCTCTTCTGACATCCATTTTGGTCTTTTCTTTATTTCTTGTCATTTTAGTGACCTTTTGCTTTTTTCCTGTAGATGTTCTTAAAGTCATCCCAGAGCTCTTCTGGTCTTCAATCATTAGCATCTGGTGCATCAGATCTGTTACTTGAGATGATCTCTAATTTCAGGGTTATGTTCAAGGTTTTGGCTCTTGTGGACTTGTTTGTTCCACATTTTGCCCCTGGCCTTGTTTTTGCTGATGATATTGAGCTTTTCCACCATCTTTTCCCATAAATATAGTCAATTTGATTTCTGTGTCTTCCATCTGGTGAGATCCATGCATATAGTTGCCTTTTATGTTGTCTAAAAAGTGCATTGGTCTTACAAAATTTCTCCAGCATCATTTCTGTCTCCAAGGCCATATTTTACAGCTAATCATTGCTCTTTGTTTCCAACATTTGCATTCCATTCCCAGTAATTATCAGTAATTCTTTATTGCATGTTTGATCAGCTTTGTACTGAAGAACTTGGCAGAATTCTTCAATTTCATCATCATTGGCTTTAATGATTGGTGTAATTTGAATACTAGTGGTTTTAACTTGTCTTCCTTGTAGGTGTATGGATATTATCTTACCACAGACTGCATTATACTTTATGATACATCTTGAAATATTGTTTTGATGATAATGTGACACCATTCTTGTAGAATTTGTTGTTTCCAGCATAGTAAAATGAATGATTTTAAGATCAAAATGGCCAATACTACTCCCATTTCACCTCACTATATTTAGGATATAGATCTTATGTGTTTCATTTCATCTTTGACAACTTCCAATTTCTTTAGATTCCTACTTTGTACATTCATGTCCTGATTATTATTGGATGTTTGTAACTGTTTCTCCTCATTTTGAATTGTGCCCCATCAACAAATGAAGGTAGCCAAAGCTTTACTCCATTTCTGTTTTCACATTCAATGACTTTGAGGAGAGAACTCTTCCTCAGTCATATTTTGAGTGTCTTCCCAGCTGCAGGGCTCATCTTCCATCTCTATATCTGACAATATTATGGTGCTACTCATAATGTTTTACTCTTCTGGCACTAGTATCTGACAGTGTACTTTTGCTATTGTTAAGATTTCAGTGGCTAAACCTTCAGATCTGGTGTGGCTCTGTGGGATAATGTGTTAGACTGTAAGGTCGGTTTGAACCGCAAGGTTGGAGGTTCAAACTCACCAGGTGCTCTTTGGAAAGCACCCTATACAGGGTCATTATAAGTCAAAACTAACTCTACAGAACTTAACAGCAGCAACAGTAAGTATTCAGACGTAGTCTGCCTCTCTTACGTAGTCTTAGGCTGGAAGCTCAGGTGAACCCTGTTCACTATGTGTGCCCCTGCTGGTGTTTAATATACTGGTGGTATAGCTTCCAGCACTGCAGCAACATGTGAACATCTACAGTGCAACAAACTAACAGACGAGTGGAGGAAGTACTTACATACGGTGTAATATACATGGTCCATATTTTCTCATTTGAGAGTCCAGTAATTATGACATACTAATGTAAAAGATGCTAAAAAAGGCAGTTTCTGAAGTATTAAGATGGACCAGACGTTTTCCGAAGTTATCTCTATGATTATAAGTGCCTTTTTCTTTAGGGAGCCCTGATGGCACAGTAGCTTGAGTATTTATTAGCCTGTTTTAGTGCAAAGTAAGGGGTTTGAAATCATCAGCCTCTCTGATGGAGAACAATGCGGCACCCTGTTTCATTAAAGCTTCAGAACATTGGAAACCCTGCGGAGCAGTTCTGCTCTGCCCTATAGTTCTGCTTTGAGATGGAATTGATGTTCCAGCAGTTATTTTTGCTTTGTCTCTGTATCATCCAGAATTATTACATTGAACATGTATCACTGAAGTGATTTTTTTTTTTTTAATTCTGTATAGCCTTTGTGTATATGTATTTCTTATGGACAACGAGTCCCAGACTGCTAACCACACTCCTTAGAAACCCTGTACAGGGTCAATATGAGTCAAGATTGACTCAGCAACATTTAACAACAATTATATACAAAGGAAGCTTCAAAAAGTTCTGGTTAAATTCTATGACGGGGATTGCAATCATTGTAATGAAACCAATTGTATGATTTGTTACATGTAAAACTGATGATCTACTGTGTAAACCATTTCTCAGTTCACAATAAAAAGGTTTTAAAAAAAAGCTAGTGGAATACTTCCCATGAACATTTTAAAGCCCACATGTCTTTATTTATATAGATCCGTGGTGGTTGTTAACTGCCAGAAAGTTGATTTTGACTCATGATAAACCTCCATGTTACAGTATAGAACTGCCTCATTTGATTTTCTTGGTTGTAATGTTAACAGAAGCATACTGCTATTTGTGTTCCTGCTGGGTGGGTTCAGATCACCCAGAGGAGAGTAACACAGACTGTTTCTCAGCTATGGAACAAAGGTCAGTAATAGAAAAAAGAAAAGAAAAATTGCCATTGAGTCTATTCTAGTTCATATCAAGCCTGTAGGACAGAGTAGAACTGCCCCATAGGGTTTCCAAGGTTCTAGGCTTTATGGAAGCAGACTGTCACAGCTTTTTCTTAAGAGCAGCTAGTAGATTTGAACTGTCAACCTTCTCATTTACAGCCAAGCACTTTAACCACTACACCTCCAGGGCTCCTTACATCAATCATAAAAAAAAAAAAATGAAAAATAAAAAATAAACCAAACCTCTTGCCCTGAATTCAGTTGATGTCAATTCATAGCAACCCAAGATTATTGAGACTGAGGATTATTCTATTTTTTTCTGAATTCTGCCTTAAAATGTCCAAAAAAGAATTCAGTATATTTGTTTGTGTTGTTTGACCTGTACATCTGATTCTGACATCCTTTCAATGAGCACCTTTTCTTTCTTTTATCAAAGAAGCTGAAAAGAGTGAAGATCCCTCAGGTGCTGCCGGCCTCTCAGGCTTACATCGCACTTATAGCCAGGACTGCAGCTTCAAGAACAGCATGTACCATGTTGGTGATTATGTCTATGTGGAACCTGCCGAAGCCAACCTACAGCCACATATAGTCTGTATTGAGAGACTGTGGGAAGATTCTGCTGGTAAGTTTGCTTTAAGTCCAAGGGTAGAGTGATGAGATGTGGGAATTCTACTACTTGGTCCTCAGGAAACATCATTTTAACTCATATTTTATTTCTTCCACCAGTAGTTCTACAGTGTATCAATAAATTTGATTAAGCATCCACCATATGAAAAACAGAATTTAGCCTGTTAGGCAGTAAAATAGTTATTTGAGTCAAAAGAAATGCATCCAACTGATATACAACATACAGATTGAATAGTCACTGGCAGAGATTTAGAAAAATAAAAGCACACGTTTGCCTCTGGGACCGTCAGTCTAGTGAAGGAGATCACAAATTAAAAAGAAGTTGTCACACACAGACATATTCCTTGGCTTAGAATTTTGTTTTGGAAAAGCTTGCTAGAACCAATGGCATTTAAATTGAGACATGGCAAAAGAATTGGAGTCACATTGAAGCCAAAGCAGGAGGAATTGTGGTCCATACAGTCTAGTTGTTTTAAGTGGCATAATGACGTGATGAAGTGTTTGCACATCTTGAAAAGAATGTTTTTCTATTAATGGTGATGATTTTCATTCTCTCTCCTCTTTTTAAGGTGAAAAATGGTTATATGGCTGTTGGTTTTATCGGCCAAATGAAACTTTCCACCTGGCTACACGAAAGTTTTTAGAAAAAGAAGTTTTCAAGAGTGATTATTACAATAAAGTTCCTGTTAGTAAAATTCTAGGCAAATGTGTTGTCATGTTTGTCAAGGTAAGAAACTCATTACTTCTAAAAATATCTTCTATTCTCTAGGAATAAAATTTATAAACACAAAAATTGATATTTATAAAATTATGAACTCTGTTTTCAAATCTATATGATTTTTAAAAAATAACCATGTCTATAAGGAGCCTTGTAGTGGGGTCGGCTAACTGTTGGGCTGCTAACTGCAGAGTTGGCAGTTGAAACTTACCAACTGCTTCCTGGAAGAAAGATGAAGCTGTTTGCTCCCATAAAACTTTACAGTGTCAGACACCCTGTAAGGATTTTTAGGAGTCATAATCAACTCAGTGGCCATGGGGTTTTCTTTAGATACATTTAGGAGCTCTGGGGGCACTTTGGCTAGAGTGCTTGGCTGCTCTCTGAAAAGTCAGTAATTAAAACCTTCTGTTTGTTCCTTGGGAGAAAGATATGACAGTCTACTTACATAAATATTTACAACCTTGGAAATGCTATGCAGCAGTTCCATTGTGCCCTGTAGGGTCATGATGAGTTGGAATCCACTCGATGGTGGTAGGTTTGGTTTTGGTTTTAGTTACATAGTGGTTTATGTAAAGGTTTGGGAAGAAAAGGACTTAAACATGATTATAAAAGACCATTTGCAGCCTACATTGTTTGCTGTTATTGCTAAGTGCCTTCAAGTCAGTTCTGACTATATAGCAACCCTGTATCTTTCAAAAGATTGACTGGTGGGTTTGAACTACTGGCCTTGTGGCTAGCAGCCCTATGCTTATCTTGCACTGCCACACCACACTTCTACACTGTTTAGCTATATGCAGTTGAAGTTTCCCATATTACTCAGTTATCTTTTGAGAATGCTGTTTTCTGAAAGAAACAAATTTTCAGGTGGTTTTTGATAGTAAGGTAGTAAGGTGGTGGTGTTTATTTGTTTTTCATCTGAGTATGCATATGAGCCCTGCTCAGAGCTTTCAGGAACAATATAGCTGTGTGAAATGTTACTGTATTTTCAAAGGGTAATTGATACCCTAAATAGAACTATTCCATGTTTATAAACTAAAGTGTATATATTTAATAAGACCATTTTATAGTCAGAAAATACTCCTAAAAGTTAGCAATTTACCATTTGTTGTTAACCACCATAAAGTCTTAACAATGAAACTTGTATTTGGTCATTTGGTTTATGTTTGCTTTTGTTTTTGGCTGATTGGTTTTCAGAAAATCCACGTAATTTTAATCTTTTTTTTTTTTTTTGCCCCCCCAGGAATACTTTAAATTGTGCCCAGAAAACTTTCGAGATGAGGATGTTTTTGTCTGTGAATCACGATACTCTGCTAAGACCAAGTCTTTTAAGAAAATTAAGCTGTGGACCATGCCCATTAGCTCGGTTAGGTTTGTGCCTCGGGATATGCCCCTGCCTGTGGTTCGAGTGGCTTCTGTATTTGCAAATGCAGACAAAGGGGATGATGAGAAGAACACAGAGAATTCAGAGGACAGTCGAGCCGAAGACAGTTTTAACTTGGAAAAGGTATGTAGACAGTAGCCATACAGAAAACAATGCTACGCATCAGAATACCTGTTTCATAAAGTAAATGAAATTATTCTAATTCAAAATTAGAAAAAGAGCAACACTATAAAATCACAGTCAAACGGAAAGTAGGAAATTATGAAGCCAAACACAAAACTACAGAAATGAAAGTAAATCCAAGAACTAATTTTTTAACTAATCTGAAGAGATAGATAAGGAGCTCTGGCAGCATAGTGGTTACAAGTTGGGCTGCTAACCTTTCGGTCAGCAGTTCAAAACTGCCAGCAGTTCTGCAGGAGAAAGAGGCTTTCTGCTCCTCTAAAGATTTACAGCCTCAGAAACCCTATGCAGGGTCGCTATGAGTCGGAACCGACTCCATGGCACACCACCACCACCACCAAAGAGACAGATAAATTACCAACCATCTTAATAAGTGAAAACAAAGAGAGTTAAACCCAAGAACATAAAATGCTAAAGAAATTTTATAACTTGGTGCTTTTCTGCATGCATAATTGAAGTCTGAATAAAATGCATCATTTTCTAGGATAATACATATTATCAAAATGGAATCAAAAAGGGATACAACACATAAATAGACACCAGACAAGAAGAAATTAAAAAAGATTATCAAAAGAGCTAACTTTCAAAGAGTACTGAAGTCAGATTGTGTGGCAGGGGCAGTTTTTTAATCCTTTATAATGTTGTTTAAACTGTTTAACAGGTTGGAGAACAAAGGAAACATCCTAGCTCATTACAAAAGCCAAAATAATTTTGACATCAAAACCTGACAAAACTTTTATTTCAATATCACTTATCTATATTGATATAAAAATTACATGTAAAAATATAGTTTTATAAGTAACATCAAATTCATGACCAAGGAGTAGGAAGTTCATTCTAGGAATGCAGGGATTGTTCAAAATCACAAAAATGCAATACCTCTCATTATATTAATAGATCAAAAGAGAAATTATTTAGTAAAAATACAGTAACTGTCTTGATTATTTTATTAGATGGATGTGTTCTCAGTGTTACTTCTTAAAATTATATTTGTATCATCAAACACATTTCCTTTAAAGTTATATACAGAACCAAGCTGCCTACCATATCACCATTTCTCTAAAAGTGATAGCCAGTACATTAGACAATCAGAAATAATTAAAATATTGTTAATGAGGAGACAAGATTATTATTTGCAAATAAATCGGGTTGTAGTTGTTAAGTGCCGTTGAGTCGATTCCAACTCATAACAAACCTGTATAGGGTTTTTGAAACCTGTGGCTTAGACTGACTTAGCTGTCCAGTGCTGATCCTTCAGTGCCACACCAAGACTCCAGTTGGTTTAGAGGAAGCTGACTGAAAGGCTTTTGGAAGCAATTTAGCAAGTCCAAATTTCAAAATTCAGATGTAAGCACAATAATTCATAAAATTTAACATGAAACAAACTGTGACTGCATTGCAGCCACTACTAGAAAGACCTTAGGGAAGAAAATGCATAATTCATATTAGCAACAAAATACATTTATAAATAACTAACAAGGAATCTATTGAATGTGTAGGAAGAAAATCCACTAAAAAACATAAGACTCAAATTATTTTTAGGATTAACAAAATTATTCTAGCATTTTTTTGAAAGAATAAATATGTGACAATAAATGGAAAAATAATTTTTAAAATAATGAAGAGTTTTGTCCTGTAATATATTTTATAATACTACATTTAAAAAAATACTTCAATATTAGCTCAGGAAAGAATAGACTTTCCTTGATTAAGTCCAAAAATAAATGACTAATGAATATGTGATAAAAGTAGCATTTAAAATCATGAGGAAGATAAAAGAATCAACTTACATTAGGAAACTGGGTAGTTATTTGAAACAAATGTGGACTGTCTCATCCCATATTCCAGAATAATTAAGATGTAAACTTAAATAGTAAGCATACTAGTTGCTTGTCTATCTTATACCTATAATTTTTTTATGCATATATATAATTTTGTTGTTGTTGTTAGCTTGGAATAGAGAAGCTTTTTCTGTGCAAGATGTAAAACCTGTTTTTGTTAAGTGCTTTGAGTCAGTTTTGACACCTAGTGACCGTATATAGTGTTTCCGAGAAATGGCTGGTGGGTTTGAACCACTGACCTTGCGGTTAGCAGTCCACAGCAGGATTTACAATTTAAACAAAGATCTTAATAAGTAATTTGATTTAAAAAAAATTTTAAGGCAGCTAAAATACCATAGCAAAATGTGTTAGCAGTTTCTTAAATGCCTAACAAGAATTTAAAAGATGAATAATACATACTGCCTGATGAGAGTGTGAGGCAGCACACTCTCAGTGTTGGTAACATTCCTTTTGACTCAGGGAATCTGCTCCAACATTAATTACTCAAGCATGTGTACCCCAAGATTTTCTACAAGGGGTGACTTCACTGTTGTTTGGAAAAGCAAAAGTCTTAGGCCCAACCTAAAAGCCCATGAATAGGGATTGAATAAAGTTGTTATCCATCTGTATAATGCAGTAGTGTGCTGTCCATGAGAAGAATAAAGTACATTCATGTAGTACAAGGGGTCCTGTTACAGAGCTATAGGATAAATACTGGATTGCTAACGATAAGGTTGGCTGTTCAAACCTACCCGCCACTCCTTGGAAACCCTATACAAGGTCTCTATGAGTTGCAGTGGACTCTACAGCACTAACAAGAACAACAGCATGTATTACAAAAGCTGCGGTGGTGCAGTAGTTAAGTACTCAACTGCTAACCAAAAGGTCAGCATTTCAAACCCACTAACCTCTCTGTGGGAGAAAGAGGTGGCTGTTTGCTTCCGTAAGATTTGATACTGTTTAGTTCCTTCTGACTCATAGTGACGCTGTATGGTTTCTGAGGAGTGGCTAGTGGGTATGAACTGCCTGCCTTGCAGTTCAAAGTGACCTGACAGTTCAGTGCTTATCATACAGCACCACACCAGGACTCTTTCCTAAAGATTTGGAATCCTATGCGGTCGTTCTGCTCTGTCCTGTAAGGTTGCTATGATGCAGAAGTAACTCGGTGCTAATGGGTTTAATGGTTTATATACAGAAAAAAATTCCAGGATATGTAGGTAAAAAGATGCATTCATAATTCATAACTTCAAAGTTTCAAAATAGTATGTGATGTCATCATTCAAAACCCCCAAAAAGTGGTTAGTTTATATATATGAATATAAAAGCAATATAGAGAAGCATAGACCACCCCTGGTAGTCATCTCTGAGGATTGGATCCCAGAAGACCTTCATTTGTTTGTATGTTTTTTAATTTGTTGCATTCTAATGTTTGAAATCATTGTAACAAATACACCGCTCTTAAAATGAAGACAGTTAAATTTATTAAAATATTAATGGAGAAACTGAAATTTTAATGTCTGAAGAAAAAAAAAATCCATTTTAGTTCTCACAATATTATAAGAGAAAAGGAGCTTGGGAAAGAACGTATTTTTGTAAAAATTATCAGTATTTCCAGAAATCATAAGAATACTAGTTTTAACAGAAAAAGAAATAGCAATGGAAGCCAATGTGGAAATTAACTTGGAGTTTCCTTCTATTATTCTTAAGCTCCAACGGTCCTCTCTCTACAGTTACTTGTTTTCCTCATATCACTGTTTAAATATTACATGACTGGTATAAATCATTCCAGGAAACTTTTTAAAGAATAACTTTAGAACAGAACCCATTCCTAGAAGAAAAAGTATTCTTGATCTCAGGGACTATTTCATTTAGCTTTCATTCATACAAGTGCACCTCATTCAGCATGCAGAAGATAGGAAGCAAACCATTCCTCCCATGATACTCACTGCTCAACTGAGTTTGATTATCCATTGCAATGACCACATACAACTCAGACACCATACTCACACTTAGGGGTTTGATACGGACGTTAACAGGTTACAATTTGTGATCAGATATGCTCAGGGCACAGTTGTTCCAATCAACTGCTGATAAATGCCCACAGGACATACCATTCCACCATAATCCTCAGCCTGATGGCACTCAGCTCCAGTTCCGTGGGTCAGCAAACTTAGCACCCCACCTTAAGTGCCTGTGGGCACCCCATCTGCAAGCAAGTTTCCTCTCCAAAAAGTCCCTCAGCTTTACTTGCTCCTTGGGCTGGGAAGCCTACTGGTCTGTATCATGTTGTAGTTCTTGGTTCTGCTGCTGCTTCTCCTGTGCAGCTCCTCTGGTGTCACAGCTCTCTGTCTCTGGGTCAAGGAGGCTCAATGCTGAGGGATCCTTTGGGTCCAAAGGATGTGCTCCCTTCTTGACTCTGTAAATCTTTACAGGAGTCCCAGTATGGCGTGGTGAGGTAATGCACTGAACCGCAAGGTCAATGGTTCAAATTCACCAGCTGCTTCTTGGAAATCCTATGTAGGGTCGCTACCAACGCAGTAGCACTTAACAACAACTACAACAAATCTTCACAAGAACAGAAGCCTGCTGTTTCTCTTGTGGAATGGCTGGTGGGGTCGAACTTGTGGTTACCAGCCCAAGTTGTAACCCAGTACTAGGTATCTAGTAAATGGTGGTTCTTCTTTGAAAAGTTTCACCTTCTTCTCTTTCCTCCCTTTGCCTCTCCCCTCCCTCTTTTTATTGACTATAAAGTAATAGCCCCATGATAGCCCCATCTTGGTGTACTACCATTATCTTCATTTAACAAATGAAGAAACCAAGGCACACAGAGTCAGTTAATTTATCCATTGTCCCAGCAACCAGTAGGTGACAGAGGCTGTAATTTATTCAGAAACAAAGTATGTATGTTTATGTCACAGAGGCTTTGTTACTCCTCTCCTTGTTGGAGTAAATTAAAGTAAGTTAGTTGTTGATGTTAAGAAAAAAGAGAGCTCAGTACGCATGGTAAGGGATTAGCTTTTGTGGAATTTCCTTCTTGTACTCTCTAAAATACATGAATGAATTGGATTCAGAATACTACATTTTCTATATTTTTTTTTTTTTTTTTTTGCTAAAGGTTATGGGAGAGAGGGATAAATATGTGTCTCATGGTATTAGTTTATGAAAAACAACTACAAATTTAAAATAGGTATCATACAACTTGGTTTAATTTTAAGACTAATCTGTTGGTAGAAGTCCTAGTTGATTAAACATTGAACTGTTTCACAGGAGAAGGATGAGGCTTTCTGCTCCTATAAAATTCACAGTGTATGTATATGGGGTTTTTCTTCTTCATATTAATGTGAAGGAAAGTCTGCTTTCCTTTCTTACCTACTTTGTCTGTTGCTTGATTGTCAGCTTCCTTTCTTCATCCAGTTTCCTTTACTACAGGAGAAAGAAGATGTACCTGTGGAAATGTCCAATGGTGAACCAGGTTGCCACTATTTTGAGCAGCTCCGTTACAATGACATGTGGTTGAAAGTTGGTGACTGTGTCTTCATCAAGTCCCATGGCCTGGTGCGCCCTCGCGTGGGCAGGTGTGTATCATTACATAGAGAATATGAGGTTGGGTCCCAGAGATTTGGAACCAATAGAAATTCATCACTCGGAGGATAAAGTGTTCATTTTTTTTATCTCTCCTGCCATTTACTGAACTCTTAGCTCATAAGGCTCCTTTAACTTTAATCTAAAATGACATTTCCTTAAGGACAGCATCTTCCCTGACCCCTTGTTACACACTCTTCAACATTATGTATTTTCTTCTCAGACCCCATGTTACATATTGGTGTTTATTAGGTGATTCTTACATTTCTATATTAGACAACAAGTGTCCTTCAAATAGGGACCCTCTCTTTTTATCCCCTGCACCTCACAAAGTACATGAAGCATAGTTGGGTGCTCAGATATTTGATGAGCAAATTGATGTTTGTATGTGTGGAAGTATGGCTGGATGGTGTGAAACAGAAAAAAGAATCAGACCAGATTGGACAAGAGTGTAGTCGTCTAGAACGTGTAGTGGTTCTAAGACATATAGTTTTATATCCTTAGCTAATCAATGAATGCCTCTCTGAGCTTCAGTTTCCTGATTGTATTTTTTCATCATTTCAGCGAGCATTTATAAAGAACCCCATGTTGGGCATTTAGTCTTTTGATTCTTAATTTGTAGGAGTCCTGTTGTGGTGCTGTGGAATAAAGCACTGGACCACAAGATTGGTTTGAACCACAGGTCGAAAGTTGACACTCACCAACTGTTCCTTGGAAACCCTATACAAGGTCGCTATGAGTCGGAATCAGCAGATCTACTGAAAGATTCACTGGGCAAATTATTGAATGATGCAGAATGCATCAAGAAAAGATGGAAGGAATACACAGAGTCATTGTACCAGAAGGAAATGGTTGATGTCCAACCATTTCAAGAGGTAGCACATGATCAAGAGTCAATGATACTGAAGGAAGAGGTTCAAGGTGCATTGAAGGCATTGGCAAAGAACACAGCTCCTGGAATTGATGGAATACAAATTGAAATCTTTGAACAAACTGATGCAGCACTGGAGGCACTAACTCAGCTATGCCAAGAAATTTGGAAGTCAGACTACCTATTCAGCTGACTGGAAGAGATCCATATTTGTGCCCATTCCAAAGAGAGGTGACCCAACAAATGCAAGTCTTTGGACAATATCATTAATATCTCATACAAGTAAATGTTTGCTAAAGATAATCCAAAAACAGCTGCAAACGTGCATTCACAGAAAATTCAGAGAGTCAAGCCAGATTCAGATGAGGACGTGGAATGAGGGATATCATTGCTGATGTCATAAAGATCTTGGCTTAAAGCAAAGAATACCAGAAAGATGTTTACCTGTGCTTTATTGACTATGCAAAGGCTTTCAGTTGTGTGGATCATGACAAGCTATGGACAACATTGTGGAGAATTTGAGTATTCCGGAGCACTTGATTGTGCTCATGACCAAGAAGCAGTTGTTTGAACAGAATAAGGGAACACCGAGTGGTTTAAAATTAGGAAAGTTGTGCGCTAGGGTTGTATTCTTTCACCGTACTTACGTATGCTGAGCACATAATCTGAGTAGCTAGGTTAAATGAAGAAAAAACATGGTGTCAAGAGTGAAGGAGGACTCATTAACAACCTTTGATATGCGGATGAAACAACCTTGCTTACTGAAAGTGAAGAGGACTTAAAATACTTCCTGTTGAAGATCACAGACCACAGCCTTTGGTATGGATTGCACCTAAATGTAAAGAAGACAAAAATAATCACCACTGGACTAATAAACAACATCCATATAAATGGAGAAAAGATTGAAGTTGTCAAAGGTGGAGAAGAGTTGAAATGAGAAACAGAAGAAAAGGAGTAAAAACAAAACAAGGGATAAAGTATGAAATTCAAGAGAATGGAAAGAAGAAAGAGAAGAACAAATAAACAAATATAATGGAAGGAAAAAAAAAATTAAAAACTTCCAGGGCAGCCGTTAGACACAGAGAGGAGAAAACTGGGGTTTTCTGCCAGCCAAAGGAGCTTGAGGTTGGTACAGGAGGTATATGACAGTGAAGTTCTTGGCCCTAAATGAAATTCCTATAGGCTTACTTGTTATCTGTGTTCAGGGCACTCAATCCAGAAGTAGTTCTTGGGGGCTCTTGATGGAGTTGGGGGCAGAGTGGCTCTGAGGGATCTGTAGACCTGAGTGGAACAACCCTGAAATCAGACACCATAGTGGTGCATCCTCTCCCCTCCTCCCACTGTTGTGGCTCACAACTCCCAGAGAGCAGACTGTGTACTTGAGGTGGGTAAGGATGGTCACCAAGGGAGTGTGGGGAAAAGAAGGAATCGCACCTTTCCTGTTTGTATGAATCTGCTGTCAAGCCCCTTTCTGTGGCCAAAGCTGCTCATAAAAGTTCAAGATGGTGATGCCATATCTAGCCAGCCATTCACCAGTCAATCCAACTCTCTTGCCTTCCCTGCTCACCTTCTCATCCCAGCAAGCACTCAATCCACTTTTCTAACTTTTCCTCTGAAGTTCAGGGTTCCAGGATTTTCCTTTATATCTGTTTCATTTGATCTCTTGTATTTTTGTTATGTGGTCCATGTAATGCATACACCTAGTCCACCGTCTTGCTGGAAGTCTTGTTGTTATTGTTAGGTGCCGTTGAGTCACTTGCGACTCAGTGACTCTATGCACAACAAATTGAAACACTGCCTGATCCTTTTCCATCCCTAAGATTGTTGCTACGCTTGAAGCCATTGCTGCTGTCACTTGCCGTTCCACCTTTTTGGGGGTCTTCCTCTGTTTCACTGACCACTGTAGCAAGCATACTGTCATTCTCCTGGGACTGATCCCTCCTGATAGTATGTCTGAAGTATGAGAAGGAGATGTGATAGTATGTCCAAAAGTGTGAGAGACGAAGTGTCCTCTTCCTGGCTTCTAAGGAGCATTCTGGTTGTACTTCTTTCAACATAAGATTCGCTTGTTCTTCTGACAGTCCATAGTATTGTTGATATCCTTCTCCAGCACCACAACTGACATATATCAATTGTTCTCTGGTCTTCCTGATTCAAAGTTCAGATTTCACATACGTATGAAACTATTGAACATGCCATGGCTTGAGTTAGGCACACATTATTCCTCAAACTGGTATCTTTGCTCTTGAATACTTTTAACAGGTCTTTCTTGTGCAGATTTGCCTATTGTAATATGTCATTTGATTTTTGACTGCTCTTTCCAGGATTGTTGAATATTATAATATGACACCTCTGAAAATCAGACTTCCCCCATTTCCTAGGGTTTGTTGTTGCTTCATCATGTTGTCTGTTGTAATTTGTTACTTTGATAAACTATGGGTTGTGTTTTTTTTTTAACTCCTCTTAGTTGTATGTGGACGCTGAGTTTTTCGATTAGTTAGTGATCAGCTAGTGATTTGACAGATTTTCTTGCATGCCTAGAGCCAATAAATAAAACCTCCAGGTCTTTGCAGCTGGACTGTGTGTGTTAGGCTAGCTATGCCTTCAACATTTAGCATGCAGATTGCAGGTCTGCCTTTTCTTGCACAGAGCTTGAAGGTCCAGCAAGAGAGTTTAAAACTCTTTTCTAAACCTGCATCCTGCCCCAGGCACTTTTGTGGTTTTCTAGATTCCCAGGAATATTTGGAAGCTTTTCAAAGCTCTAGTTCCCTTGGCATCTTACATTCCAGCTTTAAAAGTTCTAAACTAATGTACTCTGTCATAGCCACATCTCTACCCTGAGAGAGTTCTGTATTAAGTGAAATAAAGGCTTTGTATTACTCCTTTAGGGAATCACTTGACAAATCAAAACAGGCAGCCACAGGTTGGTTGTTTTGTTTTGTGTTTAACTTTTTATTGTGAATTGAGTGACGCTCTAGTGAATTTGGCACAGGATCGGGCAGTGTTTCGTTCTGCTGTGCATACGGTTGCTATGAGTGGCACCTAACAACAACAACTACAGAGCAGATCATCAGTTATACATTAAATAAATCATATAGTTTACTTCATTACACTGATTGCAAACCCCCCCTCCATGTTCTATCAGTTAACAGTATTTACCTGTATTCACTTTAACTCTTGAATTCCTCCGTGTCTTCCGCTGCTTTCATCTTTCCTCTACCAAATTGCCACTTGTAACCACAGTTTTTTTTTAAAACAAAGTTTGGTCTGCTACCTCTGGCACCAGAAATTCACATCCGAATCATGGGCTGCCAACTTCAGGACCACCACTGGTCTGCCGTGATGGACAGGAGTTGTACAGGGGTGAAAGAAGACTAAAGTTAAAAGACCACAAAGCTGTTCTGTTAGGTTTCAGTCACTTTTCTCTATTAAGCATTTGTTGGTAGCTACAAACCTTTGGCTATTTTCTAGAATTTCCATGTAGGTGATTCTGGCAATTTCCCAGACTTTTTGGTACTTCTGTGAGTGGAAAAGCTCTTAGAATTTCCTACTCTTATTATTTTCACTGACATCCTTTGAAATAAATCTTTTTTTCTTAATTACAACATAAAAGTTGCCATTTTAACCTTTAAGTGTGTAATTCAGTGATATTGATTATATTCATAATACTGTAAAGCTATCATCGTTAATTTCCAAAACTTTTTCTCCCAAATAGAAACTCTGTATGTACTTAGCAATAACTCCTTATGCCACCTCTACCCCAAGCCTTGGGAACCACTAATATACTTTTTGTGTGTATGCGTTTGCCAATTCTGGGTATTTCTTAAGTAGGATCATACATATAATTTGTCCTTGAAAAAAAAAAACTTTTCAGTTCTGAATCTTTTACTTAATCAGACTATATTTAAACGCTTTTTACAATTAGCATTTATTTTTTTATATAAAAATCTTTAATTGCTAGTGAGATTCAAGACATTATTGGTACATCTGGTTCTTCATTTAAGATCATGGTTGTTTTACATCATTATTGTATAAGCATTTTTTCGGATTATGTTAAATATATATGCCAAAATAAAAATAAAGTGCCATTACATTTTTTACATGTACAGTTAAGTGAC